CTCTCATATTACTTCAAGGAAACGTCGGGAGAGTTAAGAAATTGGGTGTGGTCATTGGGGGAAGTGGGCGTGGTTCGAACATAACTCTCCGAAATCATAACTCTCCGAGATAACTCTCCGGTTGGTAACTCTCCCTTTAGTCATACCCAAGAAAAACCACTCGCGATGTGACAAAATAATTACTGACGTTATGTCGTGCTACAAATGTTATGCAATAATTCATGTTATGCAATAATTCATGCCTGATTCCCCCCTGCAGCCCTCTTCTGCAGGAACTCCTCACTCTTTGCCTCCCGAGCGTCATGGTACATGCCCAATCTACACATCTGACAATAACGCTGCTTGAAGTTACGTATACCCTCTACGTACGTACGTACGCGTACGTACGTACAACCCCAAACAATATCAAGTTTATTTAGTGAATTACAAAATAAACCTGAAATTGTTCGACTTCCCCTAAATCACATCACCCTTTTATACCCTTCACGTACGTACGTTTTACTTGGTTGTCATTTATATATACAAGTAGTGTAGTTCCCAATATTATATCAATATTTTCATTGTGTTATGTAAAATACCCTAAATTCACGTGTGGGACATTATACTATATATAACCGAAATTGCAAATATTAGTCAGCTCTGAGTACGGCTTGAATAACGAAAAGATCAAGATTGTTCATGTAAAACATAAGGTGCACTGCAAAACATGTATTGCCGTCTACGGTTGTAATAGTGACAGCCAACACACCAGTGAAATCCGTTTCTTCAATTTTCCAAAGGGCAAATCGGTAGATCAGCAATATGGAGAAAAGCGTGGATTGAATTCTGTAAGCGCAAAGCATTTAATTTTAAACCATCGTCGTGCACCAGAATATATGCCCACTTCATTTTGCCGAAGACGCGAATGAACATGCAAGTACAGTCGCCAAAGTTTTTAAGACGAATACAGTGCAATGAAACGTTTAGAATACAATTGAAAAGGGAAGCGTTGCCAAGTAATAACTTTACTTACAGTACATACTAGCTTCAATTGCGGTATACTATTTCTACAATGGATTGACATAAAAAGACACAAAACAGTGCACGCATTATACGCGTGCACCTAATATACTATATTTAACGGCATGGTCTACTTTCAATATCCCGTTGAAAATAAAAGAAATCCATTAAATAAATGATTATAAGTAAACCACAAACCAAAGGTCCAAGACGCGTGTAGAGGTCCTATTTATAGGTATTTATACCTATCCCAAAATTAAAATATTGCTTGTTTTTCTCCTACTTCTGGTTCATATTGGTACGATAACACTTCTCCTACTTGGTTCTCGTGAATATTTTCCATTAGAATGACTCAAAAGCATTAATTTTTTGAGAAAACGTATTAAATCTTGATACACGCTGTACAAAAATATATTGTTGTTTTGATTCTACCCTGCCATTTACGTCATACGGGTCATGTTACCCAAAAGATAATTTTTCGGGAATACGAGCCAAGATGGCGGACGATATATAAATTAACAGTGAAATAACATGCATATAACTCCTGAACAAAAATGTTTGACACAGTATTAATATCATATTCATAGTTAGATGAAGCAACACTTTTAATATAGACAATAAAAAATTTTGTTGCCATTGTCCTTTAAGCACGGAAAACATTACAATATTTCGTCCAGTTTGAAGTTATTTAATACGGTTGACCTTTGGTTGACCTTTTAGTTTGCAAGCAGCCAAACGCCAAACGGCTCAACTTCTACCGCTGGCAGCACGGATTGTGTTTCGTGTATCCCAGAAGCGTTTGCAGGGTTGAAAAATATTGATCGTGGCGATCATTTTGGCACCAAGTACAACTTACTGCGAGTGATATTTCGCCTTCGATTTAGCTTTTAAACGCACTAAAATTTGCGGCGATACGACCAAATATTAACAGCGCATAATATTCTAAGTGTCTACGAAAATTCATGATATTTGGTGGTATAAATACGAAAAACTTCTCCAATGTTTTATGTGCCCAATTTTTGTGAGCAGCTGGCGAGGATCCTCAAGGTTGGTGTTCCATTTGAGCAAATCACATAGCAGTCACAGAAATTTAAAGATTGAACAATGAAACTCGGTAATCGAGCGGATTTCGGCCGAGTTAGTATGCTAGTCTATAGTCGTAAAGCGTTCAGAAGATGAATCTCGAAACGAACAACTCAATAAGGTTTTAACTATTATTTTTTTCGACAGTGCTGTTTGTATGCGATGTAGGAATACTACTCGAAATATCTTTTTGTCAATTCGATGTTTTTAGTTTGACTCCTATGTATTTTATATATTTCTTTACCTAAGATATATTGACTTTTACGGAGGTATCCGCTGGCGCACTGCCGACTCAATGTCCGAAATAGTTGGCGATGACTTTATTCATAACAAAATACCAATACTGGTACATAATGAATACATTACATTGTGTAAAAATATTAAATCACAAAATCGTGCGAAATGAAAGCCTTTACCATTTCCCAGGACCCGCTGAGGCTTGGATCTGGATATGGGGACATTTTTGTGCCATTCAAATCGCCAAAATAGAATTTGGCAGCATGGTGCGCGTCAGAGTGTAGAAGGCACAGTGTGTCGTTGCCAGGATTGAGTGCTCCTCCTTCAGGATGCCAGATCTTTCCTCCTTTATGCACAATGCGTTCACCTTCATTAAATGCAAAGAGGGCGCCTCCATGGCGATCAGAATGATAGACTAGGTGGGTGTTTTCTCCACAATCTAATCGACCATCTTGAGGATGCACAATCTTACCACTCGATACATGCTGAATATAGCCAAAATGCCCAGATCCTTCAGCTGGTACGAACCTAACTTGGAGCCGGCCGGCATTGCTCCTGTCATCATACAGGACTAACGAGGTGTTATTCCCTGGATCAGAGGAACCTCCTTTAGGATGAACGAGTTTACCCGACGATCGGTGGAATAGATATCCAATAGGTCCGGCCATCTAAAAAATTTGCAGTTGGTTGTTTTTCGTGTCGATTGCTTGAATGACTAGCCGGTATGATGTGGTACTGCGTGACAACTGCATTTATACACCAGCATCGATT